ATACATGTAAGTGTTCCACTGCTAGGAGAAGTGGGTTGAGAATATTTCTTCAAAACCACAAGAGACTCTGAAGATCTATTACACTCCAGTGTTGCTCTCCTATGCTATGCACCCTCACATCTTTCATTCCTATGGCGGGGGGGGGGGGGAAGGGGAAGTCACGCCTAATGTAATCAAAAAGAAAAATGTCGGTGCATCTACAGTCTCATGAAATACCAGTTACACATTCCACACCAGCATCTGCACATACTAGTCATAAGAGCAACTGGGCTGATTGAGTTTTTCAGACATACAGTATATATTTTACTTTAATGTTGAGCAACAATATATAACTAAATCCTTTCCAACAAATTATAATTTAAATCTGTCAATTTATTTTGACCCCATAAAGCCGATCATGTTTCATAGTATGTGTTGCATGGCATGGGGACTAGAAGTTTTTTGTCAGTTGCTTATTGACAGAATAATTACTAGTGCCATGGTTATGATTTAAATATACCAAGCCACATAACAGCTGCTTATAGTCTAATCATAAGAACAGATGACTGGTACACAGGGGAAATGGGTTCTACTCCAGCCCTCTACTACTGACTCACTGTGTGATGTTGGGCAAGACACTTAGTGGCCGCTTTTGAAAATTTTGGCCTAATTAGTGTTGCCTTGGGTTTTGGATACCTACCTTGAGACACTTGGGGACAGAATTTCATATCTGCTGAGCAAACTCCTCCTCAATCCTTGTCTCAAGTTAGGCACTCAAAAACTGAGGTACTCAACATTACTGAGCACTTCAAAATTTATCCTTGACTTCCCTGTGCCTCAGTGAAGTAAAATGAGAACTGTTGGGAGCAAAAGCATATTGTAGGCCTGATGGAAGCTTGCTGTGATTTTTAGCAGTCTGTTCTGATAATGTTTAACAGTTTAAACTTGAGTAGAACTGCACGTGTAAGAAATTGCAGACTAGTCATGTTTGTGAGGAAAATAAAAGCTAAAGTAGCCACAAAGCTAAAAGAAATGGGTTTGAACTAACACTAAAAGTGTACTGACAGGGGAGGAGAATAACAGGGAAATGAGAAACTAATACATAGACATAAGAAAAGGTAACAAAAGTTATAAATAAGTCAGCCTAAATAAAGGAAAAGTGAAGCTGTGCACGCCTGGTGCTGGAGGTGACCGTGAGGCGTTGTCCTGACGAGTTTCCCACGTGTGAGTAGCTGATCATTATTTACTAGTGTTTTGCCTTAAAGATTTGTTAGACCCATCTGCTGAGTAGTGAATTTCAGTCCAACAGGAATAACTAACTATATATATATACACATACATACACACACACACACACACACCGCTTTGCACAATATTAATACCAAGGCACTATCAATGGTATTAAATGAACTTAAGCATGTGGTGTGAAGATTTTTCATATTTTAGTTTATAGCAGAGATTAAATTTACCTAGGGGGGGGGGAAATGGGGGCACAAGGGGAGAACTTCCGTAGAAAGCATAACCATTTTTGTACAGGTGCATTTTGTGATTGCAACAACAGCAAAACAGAACATTGCATGTCTGAGAAATGGCAAGACTACAGGTCTGCACACAGTAGCCATACAGTGATTATCCTCAAGCACTGACCAAGAGAAAAAGTACACTTAATAGTGTGCTATTGTAACATTCAGGGCACAGATGCCACTTAGCTTCTAATACCATGGCATTATAAGGCTCTTGTGAGAGACAACTTGTGATATATTTTCCTGCAAGCTGTCAGTGATGATGGATGATTCTATTAGAATGACGGCAATGACTCCATGTTTTCTATGAGGCCCTCAACATGCAGCAAGAGGCAACGACTTAAAGACCTTTTTTAGATCTGAGTTCTTCTGATCAGGAGTCAGTATATCTTCTTTGTTCAGCTATTTCTCATATAGGTCAGAAAAGGCTTATCTCATGATTTCTTCGGCTTCCAAATCTTTGCCTTTATCTATATTTCTAGAAGTTAATAAAAGGCAGATTAATCTCCTCCTTATAAAAGAAATGTCTGTATTCTAACTATATATATTCCTGCCTCAAATACTAACACAGCTGTTGTCCTGGACCAATAATGTTTCTTTCTACCACTGTTATGTCAGTTTGTCTAACTGTTTTTCCTTCACACCATCTGTTTTGGTTTCAAGCAACTATATAAAACAAGAAAACCTCCCCTTTCATAGCGGCCCTACCACGTTGGGCCCCAAACACTAAATATAGGTGAGGAATCCTATCAATTGTCATCCCACATATTTGCTTTGGTAACTGTGATGGGCTATGCATGTTAAAATATTCGGATTCATTAATACATAAGGTATAAGCATGGAAGGTACCTTTGTATTTATAAATGGTAAAGAATTTTGCTGGCAGGATCATTGCACCTTGGATTTTCCTAGGGTCTACTTAATTATCCAAGTCAATTTGAGTTCCTCTCATTTTCTCCCCTGCCCCATCTCCCTCCTCCATCGCACCTTCTTCCCTCCCTGCTGCCTCTTCCCACCACCCCACCCCCTTCCCATTTCCCCAACCCACCCCCCTTACCTTGCCCTACCATGGGCACTCACTGTTGTACAGTGACAGGATGGCTCCCAGCACACAGAAAGGGAGCGCGACTGGCACTAGGACCCAGGAGATAGCATCCAGCTGCAGAGTCAGCAGAACAGAGCAACACCCTCCTTTAGACAGGTAGCTCTGCACTCACAGAAAGGGAGGGCAGTGGCATGTAACCCCATTGTCTTACCCGGGGGGGGCACTATGCCCATGGGCACCCCCACCCCAGCGCAGCTTCCTTTTGCTTCTCCGTCATTTTCTGTGGGGAAGCAAAGAAATTCTACGAATTCTGTTCCCTCGCCGTGGTGCAGAATTCCCTCAGGAGTAAGACAATTGGCAGAATACTGACAATCCAGATCCAGTTCAGGTCAGAGTAAACAGAACCTTGCAAACAACTCTACAATTTGTTTGCCTCTCCTGCTCCATAACAGCCCAAGCTTGTTAGCTTTCAGGCGAACTGCATAGCCCACTACCCCATCTTTTGATTGGTCTGTTAATGTGTTGTGGGTTTTTGAATGATTGTAAAGGGCTTCCAGAGCATTGGATGAAAGCTTTTTTTATTGGAGTAGTAACAATTCCACCTCTGGGCTAGAAGCATTTGTTCACAAGATGATTCCATAACCAGACTCTTGGATAGCCTCATACAAAGATTTTTCTGGTATTGGTATGTAAAAATGCTTTGTCAATATGACCCTGCATCCCATTCTGGGACTCTGATGATCCAGATATGGAAGCCATGTGAGTCTGACGTGAATTTTTGAGGACTTACCTGTAATAGGTTTGAGCATTATAGCAGCCCCATGACACTAAAGTGCACTAGCACTTATAATTGATGTTATATTTTTAACTATTTTTCATTAATCAAAATAGGAAATTTCACAGCACAAAGTTTCAAACACTATTTAAATAGCCAGTATCAAAACTCATTGTTTTTCTATAAGGTAAAAGAAAAAAGGATAGTGTTTCATCTTCACCATGCAGAAAGAATTTCCACTCATTAGTTAGCTTCCTAGAGATTTCCTTTGAAAAGATCCAAGAATCAAAAGCAAAACTTGCATAGAAATTGTTCAGACATATTTCAGTAGAGTCAGCATCTGAACTTCTACTATAGATAAGATGACTTTAAGGATGGCATGCAGGTAGGAACACAGGGTTTGGAGTTACCCAAAGCACTGTGTGGCAGACTAACCAATGTAAATGCCATCAACCTAAAAAAAGAGGGCTATTTTTAATGAAAAAAATAATCTGAATGACTGTAAAAGTGACACTTTAGTAATAATTTTCTTGTGTGCATTATATCTGCTTGCTTTACTGACAAAAATGTGGTTAAAAACTCAGTTTAACTAGTATTAGTACTTTCAAATAAGCTTCATGAAAGTGGACTGGATTTTATTCTAGCTTGAATGTGATCAGCAGAATTATTCTATGTCCACTGCAGGTCTCTTGCACATTCCTCTGAAGCATCTGGTAATTAGCCAGTGTTAGAGACAGAATGCTGGTCTGGATGGACTGGTGGTCTGATCCAATATGGCAATTGTTCTGTAGCTATATAGACTGAAGAATCCTGACAGCAATGAGAGACTGAAAGAGGCTAGCTAGACTGCTTGACACCAGGCTGAGTATGCAAAAGCTGGAAAAAGATATTTCTCTAAGTCAAGATATGATCAGGAAGATAAATATGCAACCATTTTGCTAATTTTACGGAGTCACTTGTAAATTGGAACTGTATTTTAGTAGTACTATTTCCATATGGGAACTCTTGCTTTTTGGTTTATTCCCCCCCACCCCATGAGCAGCTGAAGCAAGAAGTCTGCCTGCAGCCTAAACCACTGAACAGCACGAGTTAGCAGCAAAATAAGCATGAAATCAGGAGAAAGGGGACATTGCCCTCTCCTGAGCAGAATGGGGGTCTCTTTGGAAGAACTGGATTTCCATTCTAATAAGTTTCCTTTCCCTGCACTTCTTGTGCTGTTCTGTGTCCTCTGGGGTCTCAGGCTGAGCCTGCAACCAAGAGTAGACCACTTTGCTGCAGCAAAAGCCCCAGTCCCAGCCAACTTCCCTTTCTCCACTCTCAATTGTTCCAAAGTATAACTGATTTCAGGCTTTTCTCTGACCATGCAGTAACTGAAGCACTGACAGTCTGAATTTCATGCACTTCACATAGTCTTTGCTTTTCCTTCAAATGGGAAACTTTTCTGCACTAGCCATCAAGTTGTAACTACAGCCTAGGCTTATTTTGCAAGCATTGTAAGAACAGTGATTGAATAATCAACATCCTTGTGAGGTATGTAGCCCATTTTATTTGATGGGGAAAAAAGAAAAAGGTTAAGTGATTTGCCATAGCCCACATCCTCAGAACTCATGTCCAATGATCCATCCTGGAAGCCAGACTGCCACAGAACATGAAAGTTACTACCCAATGCATTTACAGATAAGGTTTTTTGAAAGGGATTTATTGAGCAGTTCAGAGATCACTGGAAGTCCCCAGAGTTAAAAAAATTACAAAATGCAGTAAGTTTGCTTACAGAAAAGAACTAATTTACATTTCAGATTGTGGTTAAAGAAAACATTGATTCTCTGATGTTCTAAATAGAAAAGATATGACAGTAGAGTACAGCATACTGAGGTACATAAATACACAAGGTTTTTGGGTAAAAAGTAAAAGCACTACAAAAAGTTGTTCTTCCCAAAATTATCCTTTAATCACCATTTCAGGTTAGGAGCAGGTAAAGAAATCTTTCATAGAGAAAGGAGATTAAGCTTTTTGCGATAACTTTAAGTAGACCTGAAATAAAAAAAAAGTATGTTTCAACAAGTGACCTTTAGACTTTTTAGAGCATTCATATCTTCAAAATTTCTATACAAAATAAAGATGTTATTAATCCAAAACAGCACAGAAAGGACAACTATTTTACTGTACCAAAAATATGTAGTTGTTTGTCAGAAAGTCATAAGCCTCCCAAATATCCTTTATTTAAAAGGCATTATTTTGCCATGTGTTTAAAATGAAATATCTGCAAATGTAAGATGGTTCACATTAACCTGAGAAAGGAGAAAAAGTCACTAAAAAGCACTACTAACTGAAGCTATTAGGCACAGAGCTAAGGAAAAGTGCTCCATTTTAGGAGCAAACATTGACATGATGCATTCACACTATAGTATTCGGTACTAAAAATCATTCTTAGTCACCAGAAAGCTGGTGTCCTAAGGTTGGCACAAGCAACTTATAAATGTCAGAAAAGCATATAAACCTTGTTAATGTTTTCAGAAATTCATTTAAAGATAGAAACAGGTCCAAATAGATGCCTGTCTAAATGCATTGCAATTACGTTACAATTATTTTCCAAATACACAGATATGCTCTGTCTTTTCTCAGCTCATTACTGACTCAAACAATTTGCCCTTCTGGGATCAATTGTTTGCTAATAAATAATTGTTTACAGTCTCAAAATGATATTAAGGAGTATTCTGATTAGTTTTCCTTCTACAGCCTAATAAGATTCAAAACTAGCTGATTCCCAAGAGTCTAACCTTAACCTCACTGTGTTTAACAGCCCAGGAAACGATGAACCATCTGTTTCAGAAAATAACGGAGGGCCAAGAGGAAATATTGTTTAATTGTAGATTAACCTCCTCATAAGGCAGAATGAAGCATCTACAGAATTAGCAACCACAACCAACAACAGATAGAAATAGCTGAAAACAGCTCTTATCACTGTAAGCCCCGTAACGGTAAGTATTTTAATTTTACCGTACAGTTACTTATTTTAAAAAATCCCAAATTTACCACAAGAGGTGTCATCTTCCAACCAACAAAAGACCTATTGACACCAGACAAACCACTGTGGAACATCAATGGATAAAATACTGTTGATTGCTCCTGCCACAACCATGAAGAGGGGACATGTACAAACCCTCGTCCCACCACAGTTTGAACTTTAGGGGAAGGGAATAAACATCCTTGACTCGAAGGAACTGTAACACTATGCTGCTTCGAATTTGGAGAAGGCATAAGGACGGAATCCCCAAGCTACTTAGCTTGGGTTAGCCCTCAAGGACACACAGAGCTTGCATATTAGAGAATCTTCCATTACTTTTTGGAACCTAAGACTGTAACTTGTGTGTCTGTTTACCTGCTTTAACCTTGTAAATTACGAATTTATTTTTCTTAGTTAATAAATCCTTAGATAGTTTATCATAGGATTGGCTACAAGCACGGCCTTTGGTGATAGATCTAAGGTACAATTGAACTGGGGTAAGTGACTGGTTCTTTGGGGACTGAGAGTAACCTGAATATTGTTGTGATTTTTGGTATAAAGGACCATCTATCACACAGGCTGACACTCCATGTTATGGCTGTTATAGTACTTGAGGAGTTCACAATTGATACTTGGTTGGTGAAATCTAAATATAGAACACATAACCTGTTTGGAGAGGCTCACAAATGTGGGTGCCAACTTCAGGGCAGTCTGTTAAGAAGCAGGGGACAAACCCCAGACACTTTGACAGTTATTCTAGTGTTCTACCCTCAGTGTTACTAAAATAACCATAAAATTGTGATGTTTTAAAACGAGTGTCACTGCATGACAGCCTGTGGAGCAGTGCATTAAAAGAGAAAAAGAACAATGTCAGAGTATCTGTTCCAAAGTGAGATGCAATATTGATTGATTTTAATAAATCACATAATCTTGAGGCTCAACGGGTCCAAAACTCTGGAGAGTGGCTATACCAAATAGGTAGAATAGTAACTCCCAGAACAAAATGGTTAAAACGTAAATACAAAGCAGTTTGAGATTTAGAAAAGCAAAAAACTAGTGAGCAGTGACAAACCTCGAGAACCTTTATAATATCCAGACTGTTAATCCTGTGTATTTAACCTAGTGCCAGATCACGTAAACTATAGAGGTTATTCCAGTGTATAATTCTGTATTGTGATGTCAGTTTTTCCATATAGCTTTCTTTCAAATGGGCATTAACAGAAGCCTATTCTGCCTGGCACCAAAAACATCATTGTTTTCCCTTTGCCAGAAATGGTGGCACAGAGTCTGTTGTTAAAGGGTTAAATACTCAAAATATAAAGAGATTGTTCTCCAAGATACTGAGGATGGGGACCCCTTTACTTGATTTTATGCATTCCCTAGAACCAGTTCAATGCATTTGCTTTGAAGGGGAAAGGTTAGATGTATTATCAGTGTTTAAAGAAAAGATTAATAGTTCAAAGTCTTAAAAATACCATACAGCAACATTTGCTGGAAATGAATTATTCTTGAAATCTTCAACTTAATTTTGAAGAAGTGAGTTAGCAATAACTCCATAGCTTCAAATAAAAGTGCTTATTCAAAAAGAATGGGAGTTTGACATTCTCCTGTTACAAAACAACTAGACACAATTTTAGCCATCAGACATCTATCAACCTACGGATATTGAAAGCTTGGGAGAACAAGATAAAATCAACTCCAACCCTACTGTCAAGCTGCACTATCTACTAGGCATCAATAATGCTATTCATGACTTTAGGAAAATTAATAAATCCTGGGATGAATGCTAGAAAAGGTTCAAATACAGGTAAAGCAGACTCACTTGGGTTTTGTTTCTGCATCTGTCACTTGGCGAATGAAGATACCATCTTCAGGATGTTCAATGTCATCCATTTCATACATATATGACGATGCTATTGCAAGGGTGGTTCCATCATTACTAAAGGCAAGCGATGCTATGCTGGTGGGATACCGGTGGAACTGGCACAGTCGCTTCTTATTAAATGGATCCCAAATGTTTACAAATCCATCGGAGCCACCTACAAATGGATTTTGGAAAAAAACAGAGTTAAGATATTGTAACTGGAAGAAAACCAAACCGTTATAGAATTTAATGCAACCAGACAGTGACTAACGCTATAATGAATTATTTTGTCATTTGTCCAAGGATACTATGAAGCAGTTTTGTAACACAGAAGAGTCCACAATTAATGTGTTAAAGAAATAAACCTGTTAAGGTTAGGTCCCACTGCATCAAAAGAAAAATTACAACATCTTGTTAAAAGCATTAAGTATAGTGTATCAAATGTGCCAGTAACAGCTGAAACCTCTTAATTGAAACCTAACAAGAACTAGATGTACTTAAACATCTTTAGTACCAATAATGTTATACAACCTGATAAGTATCTACTGTACCTGTAGCAAATGTGTTGTGGATGTTATGGAAAGAAATGGCATTAACTGGATAAATCTGCTCGATATTATTCTCCTTTAATCTGTGACATTTGAATGCATACTTCTTCTTCTGTATTTCAGGACTTGGATCCAAATATTCTACTGCAACGCGGCCTTCAATAGAGCTTAAAACATAACCCTGCCAAAAAGAAAATAAATAAATACACCTATTGTCAGATTTATATGCAGAAGTTTTGATAACTATGATTAATCTTATACATTTCTAGAACCAGACACAAGAAACACTTTTCACAAAAATTTATGAATATTTGCTTTCATGTTTATGGTTCCCATGTATACAACTCAGGGTCCATCCACACAATTTAATCATTCAAAAGTCACAGGAGAAAAAGCTTTCCTGCAACTTCAACTGCACCTCAAATAAAAGCTTGGTGAGTCTAGAACTGGTCAGCAAGTTACAGAGTTGAACACTCCATATCTGGCCACCTGTCCCAAGCACCCTACTGATCACAACTTTCACAGAAACTCAGAGGGTGACAGGTCATATTTCCAGTATATTATTTCATTAAAACTAGTTAGGTTAGCAACTAAATTCACAAATGCATTCAACTAAATGTACAAAATAAATCAGAATAGTAATTTCAAAGCATGCCACTTGCACTCCAAAAAAGCATCTGCTTCTCTACCTAACTATAGTACTGGCACATAGCAAATTTAAATAACTCTTTTTTCTGTAACTCTGCCATGGGTTTAATATAAAAGTTTCTCACAAATAGGAAAATAATGAGGCTTACCTGAAGCAAAATTATTTAAATCCCAAACTACAGTATAGTCTGAAGTGTCAAGTTGTAACTGGATCACCACCACAAGTATCAGAGATAGAAAAATATAGCTTTCTAAACTGCTGGGGGAATTCTGCGCCACTGCATGTGCACAGAATTAATGTCCCCCACAGATTTCTTTGCTTCCCCACAGAAAAATGACTTTCTGACAAGGAAGCAAAGGGAAGCTGCAAGAGCAGTCATACACCACTCCCTAGCTGTACAGGTACATCATTTCAGGCACCTGGAGCAGCCGGCAGAGAGGTAAATCACCACAGGGCTGGGGATACCCTAGCCAATGGCTCCTACCCTGAGCCAGGAAGCTGCTAGTCTCGGCTGAGCTGGAGGCAGGAGAGGACCTTCCTCTTCCCCTGCAAGGAGTGGCTGGGCTGTGTCAGACCCACCCCCAGAAATCTCTCCCAGCTGCAGGAAGCTCAGCATCCTCCCCTGCTTCCTGCCCCCATCACTCCTCAACTGCGGGGGAGGGGTCACTGTATGGGGAGCTGCTCCCCCATCCGCCCAACCCCCATGCATCTGGTCCTCCCATACCCAGACACCTCTGCCAAGCCTCACCCCATACACCCAGAACCCCCCAGCCCTCCATACTCGAACCCCACCCCACTGAACCTCAACCCCTGCATCTGGAGCCCCCCTGCCTCTGGACCCCCATCCCTGCACCCAGACCACCCCCCCACTGAGCTCCCTGCACTCAAACCCCCACCCTCCTGCACCACCCTGAGCCCCCACATCCAGACCCCCACATCAGACCCTCACCTAGCTGCAACCAGACACCCATCCCAAGCCCCACTCCCCCAGCACCCAGACCCCCTGCTAAGACCCCACACCCAAACCCTCCGCTGAGCCCCAACCACTTTCACCTGGAAGTCCCTGCAAAGTCTCATTGCCCCTACATCTGGAACCCCCCACCCCCCCACCACCAAACGAGCCTCTGGGCATCCAGATCCCCCCACACCTAGACCCCCCACTGAGCTGCCACCACCCAGGTTGTCCCACACAAAATCCTTTCACCCCACACTGAGCCCCTCCACACTTGGATCCTGCCTGGTTGAGCCTACCTGCCCCACACCTGGTGCGCCTTTTTCTACTCATACTAGCTCTAGAATGAATAACTAGGCCTCCCACTGCATGTATTATCCAGCTCTCACTACCTTGCACCTGAAAAGTTTGTTCCAAATTGTTCCTTGCTTTCCACTCCAGGAGCGCTGCAGAGGCACCCCATTAAACCCTTGGGAAAGGAATGATGGAAGGAAAGATGACCTTACTTATTCTTATGCAATTCCCTCTGGCATACAAGGCATGACCTTCAAAGACTCTAGAGGAAACCCAGTAGAGTAAGGTGTCAAAACAGTGATGGAGCAAGTAGTAAATAAGCTTACAACAATTTTTAGTTAAATATGCTGCATAATACTACACTTATCTATAGCCCAGGCCACGCTATTGTTGCAGAATTGAGCACCTCTTGAGGAACTGATGGCATATATGCCTAAAAATCACACAGCAACAGTAAGTCTTCTCTTCTCTCTCCTTCTCTGCCTCTTTTGCTATTTTGGAAAGGCTTAATTGTCAGTGTTCTGATGCATTAACTAGCACCTTTTAAAAAGGATGATTAAGAGGGGAAGATTAAGAGAAGAAGAGTGAGGATAGCAAAGAAAAAAGGGTTGGGGCATTTTTAAGTAACATTTTAAAACTACACCAGTGTTTGCTAAAGAACATGGGAACAAGTAGCTCAATATCGGTCATTAATTTTGAGAGATTAAACTATGAATTCTTCAAGTTAAATAACTTTTTAAATGAGTAAAAAAAATGTACTGAGCTGAGTAAGAAATCAACGCATATCCATTTTTGCTACAGAAGATTAAGTTATCTGAATCAGGGATAGAGTTACTGCACAGCATACATACCTGCTTGTTTGGGAATGCTCTGATGCAACGGGTCTGATACTTCAGACTTGACTCTCTTCTTTGTTGGACATAACCCATGTTCCGCAAATCCCATACCAAAACTCGACGACCTGCAGTCCCCACAATAAGTCTATCTCCAGACACAGAGAGAGTGTACACCTTTTCAAAAGAAGTTTACAAAAATATTACTAGTTTGATTAGCCTGGATATCCACCTTTTATCATCAAGTGATGAATTAAGTGGAACATGCAATTAAAAAACAGATGACCTCTGCAATTAAATATAGCTATAGATTTTTTTTCTTTTTTCAGCCTGTAATTTAAGTGCTAGATGAGTTGCAGTAGTCTGTAGGAGCATAGCTGATCTGGCAGTACACGACATGAAGATGCAAATTCTACCTTAACTCTGAGCCTTAGTGCATACCTTAAAATGCAGCTTAATATCGTAGCATTGTATATGCAGAATTGAACTTTGTGCTGTATTTTAACTAATATGTACATATGACATTTCAGGCTTTAATCACTTAGTCAATTTTATTCAAAATTATCTTATTCCTTATCTCAGTGAGATCCACACAACAAGCCAAGTTTGATATTTCTGCCTTCAGCTACTGTGTTACCCATGTGCAGAATTTCTGAGTAAAAAGAGAACGTTTCTTTACGTACATAAATGGAAAATTTCAGACCAAAAAAAGAAATTTGCAAAAATTATAAGTAACTGAAAGAGAGAAAAGGTTATTCAAATTGGAACTCGTCTTTACTTATAATGTGCACAAACCTACAGCCACTATCATATTAACCCTGTAGAGCAATAACACAGTACTCTACCAAATATTTTCCTTTTATTTTCTTCCCCTTTATAATCCCATGTTTCTTTAAAAAAAAAAAAAAAAAATCCTCTCTCAGACATGAGCTTTGTTAATCAAAAGGGAGTATCGTTAAGGGATATGCTGCCAAGAAAAGAAATATTAAAACCTGTTTTCAGAGATGTTGAGCAAGCACAATTCTAAATTAAGTCAATCAGAGCAGAGCTACTTGGCACGTCTGGAGAAAAAAAACAAAAAAAACAGAGCCCATGAAGTGCAATGCTACTCTGATAAATGACATCATAAGGGTTCATGTTTATTGTTTCCTCAATAACTTTCACAGAATCTTTTAAGTTTGCAAGAGATTGGGTTTCTAACTACTAGAGATGTCACAACATCAGTAGGGTAAAACTAACCTGTCTCACGACGGTCTAGTTTTACCCTACTGATGATGTGTTGTTGCAATAGTATTCCTGCTCAGTACGAGAGGAACCGCAGGTTCAGACATTAGGTACTAGAGATGTGTACACTCAACCTGGGATCCGAAAAAAATAAAATAAAATCAAGCTTGGGTTTTTTTTTTTTTGTCTCCCATTGTCAGTACAGATTCTGCAATCAGAATTCTGCGATCAGAATTCAATTAAGCATTCTGATGACGCATAGCCAGGACAAAATCTAGCTAACACACAGCTGTGCTGCTGCCACCAGAATGTTAGTAAGAGTGGCAAGTAGTAAAAACAAGGTTTTGCTAAAGCAAATTAACATGGCTAAATATATAACATTCTACTTATGTTGTCAGCCTCTCATTAGAACTAAAAAAAAATTAAATACATTTTTCACCACTTATGCGGTTTAATTTTGACATCTATTTGTACAGTAAAACTAGAGAAGTCAACTTTATTTTCTGGTTTCGTGTACTACCCATGATGCTGCTGAGTTTTGCTAATACCGTAAGGAAATGCTTAAATAAAACCAATTTTTCATTTAATTTAATGAACACATTTCCATATATGTCAGGGTTTGTAAAAGTGTTTTTACAAAACCATCTTTGGTCCTAAACTACCTGACATGATCTTTCTATGTATTATGCTACCTACATTCAGGCACGCTGTCTTGCTAATTAACTTTGTTTCTAAAAACATGCTTGAATATTTGAAATTTGTTCTCGTTTTTTTAATGAATTGGCTCTCTAATGTTCAGTCTACCTAAGATTTGTCAGAAATTTCTGAAGAAACCCAATCCCACTTGTCTTCCTTTTATGAAGAGGGCAAGAAAAATAGGAGCACAAAGCCAGGACAAGCATTTGAATAAGATTTAGTTTTAAACATGAATTAAATACTTCCCAATAGTTTTATAGGACAGTCAAGAAACTACTCTGCTTCAGATTGTATAATGAAAAGAATTTAATAGTCTACATTTATACTGACAATCACAAGGAGTTATGCATTTTAAATAATGATCATTTTTGACTATTGCATAAAATTTGATGCAGGTATAAACAGACATTCACACAAACAATATAAATTTTCACATACAAAGGAACAACCACATTAAGAACGTTAAACATCCTAAATCTTCTTTACAAACTGGTGTCACACCTGTATAATAAGCATTCTTTCTACACCTCGCAATCATAAATCAAATGAAACCACTACCATGTAGTTGACTAGATGTATTCATTTATCAAAGACAATATTAAAAAAGTGACATAATGAATCTTGCTGAACCAATAAGCAGCTTGATTCAGTGTGGCTGTCCATTATACGATATTCTGTCAGCAATTTATCATAGTTCTTTACACGCTACATACAACTATAAATAAAAACTAGAAATAATGCAATTATTCTATTCAGAATAAAGTTCTTACCAGAAGTAGATTCAACTGTGTTGTGGCAAAAATAATAGCTATTTAGATGCAATGTGGAACATACTGATAGCTCTAACTACAACTGGACAACATGTATAGTCTAAAGAAATGGATGAAATCAACAGTAATGCAAAACTGTAAAGTGTTCTTTAAAATTAGCTACCATCTGGTTATGAAGATAGAATGATATGATATATATAATCTCCATGTATATCCACTGAGACTGTTGCCTAGAGTGAAAAGATTAGCATTCTATGTGACTAAAGCTTACAATGCCATATTTTATTCTTTTCTTTCTACGCTTGTCAGCAGCAGAGTTACATATTAATAACAGCAAAGAGATGGCAGCATGTATTCTGTGCTAATGCTGACTAAAATTCAACTCATCACAAAAATGATTAAATGATTTAGTCCCATCTTTCACACAAAGTAAATTTTTCTTTCATATACTAATTTCTCCCACCATCCAATTTTCTGCACATCATACCAAAAAGTCAAAACTACTTGGGGCCTTGGTCTGTAAAATCCCAGAATTTGAACAGCAGAGGTGCAGCAGATCACTACCGGGACACAGTGGTAGAATTGTTTGGGGAAGTTTGCACAGCACATCCTTCAATACATCTCACTGAAGCCAGTGATATTAGTCCTACTTTCATGAGCTCTACATTTTCTTCAAATTTGTCTCGATGTACAAGAATTTGATTTGTTTACCAAAGACTACAAAAGACGTGTTGAGAATAAAGTCCTACTTTCCTAATGAAAGCTGGAATCCTTAAACTAAGGATTACTGTACTAATCTTCACAGACTAGCTAAGGATTTATACTATACACAGAACACTATACACCAAAGCATATGTTTCCACTTAGCCTTGGTCTACACTACAAAATTATTGCAGTATAACTGTTACTCAGGGGGGTGAATAATCTACACCCCCTGAGCGATGTAGTTATACCGACCTAAGCATTGTAGACAGCACTATGTCGGCAGCACAGCTTCTTCCACCAACATAGCTACCACCTCTCATGGAGGTGGAATTATTAAGCCGATGGGAGAGCTCTCTCCCGTCAGCTTAGAGCATCTTCACCAGAAGCACAACAACAGCGTAGCTGCCGTAAATTTGTAGTGTAGACTTGTCCTCAGTGGTTATTTCTCATATATCAGCTAACATACAAGTTTCAGATCTTATAACAGCCATAGTGTCAAGGCAGAACATTTCCTCAGGGCCCTTGACAGTGCCACAAGACATCCTCTCAGCCGGTAGACTAACTAAAAGGAAATGTTGGAGGACATTCATTCTTAACCAGTCACTGGATGCATTATATATATAGTTTAACAGATGATAGTATACAGTTAGTATTAATGTATATAATAGTTATTGTATAAATACAAACCTTTTCAGGTTGAGAGAAAGTTCCTGCATTGCAAGGAGTTCTGGGATCCCACAATTTGACTGTCTGATCCCAACTTCCAGTCACCATTACATTCACCTCTGGACAATATTCAACACATCTGATAGGAGCATCATGCGCGCCAACTAGATTTTCTACAAGAGAATAGATTTATATGTAACTTTACTGGTTCCATTAAAATCCACAATTTCTTGAATGAAAAGTGCAGAACAATATTCATATAGAAGTAACAAACTATAATCTGCCATTCACTAATGTGTTGGCATGCTGAGATATCTTTTAAAGAGTGCTTGGTCTTCTGATCTTTGCAATCAATACACTTTTTAAAAGTGTTAAATGTAGACTGTCTAGATACCAGCTGAGATTTTCAAGGGAGCTTAAGGGCATTAGGCAGCCATGTGGAGATTTTCAGAGGCACAAAGGGGCGGTAGGTGCCCAACTGTGATTGACTCTCAGTGGGAGCTGAGCACCTAAATCTTAGGCTCTTTTGAAAATCTCAGACATTGACTGTGTATTACAAAAGTTTAATCAACGTAAGTGTAGGACAGCCATATTAACTCAGGGCTTTGCCACTTGTTAGTAATTAGGCACTCCTAACAAAAGGCGACAATGAAACGGTCATAGCACACCATTATTCATTTCACACTACCTACCACATAATACAGAAAAACAGTATGAGGTTTTTAAAGTTGTATTGGTACTCTCTCTATAAAACCTGGCTCCTTTTGTTACCCTAATTCAAACATCTTTGAACAGAAAGGAAAATTGTAACTAGTAAGATTATAGAAACTTCTAGAGTTCCCTTAAATAGCCTTCAGTGACATAAGGTCCCATTCTGAAAAACCTTCCATGTGTCCTGCTGGAAAGCTGGGAACCACTCCTTCCCAATGTCACACTGCACACCTCACTATGTCATGAGAAGCCAAATCTTAATCACATTCCTGGAGCAGGACTCAATATTGCCCATCTTCCTGCAACTCCAACAAGGGTAGTTTGGAAAATAAAGGGGGAAGAAAACATTTTTCTGGCAGGTTCCTTTTAAAAGGAAAATGGCAAGCTGTTTGACATTGCTTAGAAGTTTGAATGTTCCCTCACAGAAACTGATTAGTAGGCAGAGTGCATCTGAGGCCGTAAAGGGGAAAATGATAAAATTGCATTTAACACAAGTACCACCACCACAGGTGGCATGCACGCATATACTCATTAAATGTATAAAACTGAATGTTATTATAGAGTTGAAAATGTAAACATCAGACAAAAGAAAAGATTATGGTTATTGTAGGCTAAGCTGGTACCACAAGTAACCTTAATTTTGGCATTTCCTAACTTTTGTGTGTTTGACTTTGCAACCTTAATAACGTAGGGTTTTTTGGTATATATGTCACTGCACTGCACATATTAATGCAGTGGTATGAAGCCAGTGGATAAATAACTTTATGCAGCTCTCTTGAGACCATAGATTTCATTCTGCTTAGAGAAGAACAGGAGTACTTGTGGCACCTTAAAGACTAACAAATTTATTAGAGCATAAGCTTTCGTGGACTACAGCCCACTTCTTCGGATGCATATAGAATGGAACATATATTGAGGAGATATATATACACACATACAGAGAGCATAAACAGGTGGGAGTTGTCTTACCAACTCTACTTAGAGTTGTCCATGGCTAATTAAAGGTTTAATTTATCTAATACATGCACAAAGTATATAATAATGTATGAAAGTAAATGGAGCTTCTCCCATTATATCTGCGACTGCTTTCTAAAACACTAAACTTAAATACAAAGAGAGTTCATGAATCAAACAGCTTTTATTCTTTAAACCCATATCCACCATCTAAAAAACCACAGCCATATATTTATTTGAATTTTAGAATTATAAATTAATTGAAAATAAACAAATTCCACACATTATTTGTTCACTTAAAAATCCTCTATTACAGTATTCGGCCAGCTTACCTTGGTCCGTGTTCAAATCATGCATTTTCAACTGCTGATCTAATCCTCCACTCCAGGCATGTGTAGGATCCTGTGAAGTAAGAAATTCTGCTTTATTGTATATGTTCAGTTTTCTGGGCTTAAATAAGTTAGGTGTCGAGGTGTCACACTTAACCTCCTGGGCACACTCCAAAGTACCTCCTTTCTTGCTGGAAATTAAGAAAGATGGAGATTCATAGGTAGAGGTGGTGGAGGTTAAGGTCCTGAACCTACAATCAGATCCACACAGGTAGATCATGCACTCATTCAGAACTTCTGAAATCAAGAGTCCGAGAATATTTTGGAATGAAAGGGTTTTACAATATTAGGTGGAGTGCTTTAATTTCTGTAGAAGAAAATAATAATTAATTAGAAATTGCAATTTGATATATTGTACAAATAAACTTTATTTTTTCCATTTTCTATCTGAATTAGTGACACGTGCAGATTCTTCAAATGACTGTCAACGCAGGTTAATCGTCCTATTAACTTCTGGTGTGTCCATGTACAAGGGGCACCATGACCTCCCATGCACCCTCTTGTAGCTGAGTGTGGCATTGAGGTGGCCTGCTTCAGTTTTCCCCTGTCAATGAGAAACCAAAGTCTACTTGACAGCAATACCTCTTCCTTCAATAAAGCCTTCTGAAAGGAGCATTTGTATAACGGTATTAAGGCTCTGACTTCAGAGACCAGATAAACGAAGTCCCAAAACAAAAGTCTGTGGGGTCTGGCAGCAACTCCTTCTGCTGTATAGTCTCAGGCTTCTCCACTGCCACAAGAGCTTTTGTAGTCTTGTTCAAGGTCTCTCCTAGGTCTCCCTACCTGGAGAGCTTTTGCCTAGTTTAGGTTCCCTGGGAGCTCCCCTCCTACAGAGCCTCCCTTCTCCTCAGAAACTTCCCCAACTGAGTTCTCCAAAGCCTTTTATTAGGCCCAGATGCTCCTTAGTCAATTGCCTTCCAGTTATTTGGGCCCTGTCTATACTACACAGTGTGTTTTGTCAGCAAAAGGCAGCTTTTGTCGACTAAACAGTGGAGGTGTATACACTAAAATGCTCCACCTGCCAACAAAATAAAACCACCTCGATAATAGGCACAGAGCTTTTTGCGGCAAAGTTAGATTGACAAAGTGTCAGCATAGACGCTGTGTTCATCACTTCATCATAACTGGCCTCTAGGAAGTATCCCACAATGCCCACCGTGACCACTCTGCTCACTGTTTTGAACTCCGCTGCCCTGCATCCAGCTACACAGGCAAGCGCCGCTCCCCTTTCAAAGCCCCAGGAAGTTCTGAAACTGCTCAGTGTGGAGAGCTCACATTAGACTGCAGTAGTTGGCAGACAGGGCAGGCTGCTGCTGCGGGAGGTGGGGAGAGAAGAGAGCAACTGCTCTGCTGTGCGGAGCTGGGGAAGCAGGCAGGGGCTGATGTTAGGGTGTCCTCTCTCTCCACCGGTGTAGCAGTCTCTGCTGAGCTGGAATCTGAGGACAGGGGAACACCAGCTGACTGTGCACCAGCTTCTGCCTCAGGATTGATTGCTTCCGGCTGCTGTCTAAACTTAAAGAGACAGCATGCCAACACACACACTCTCCCCAACACACACACTGTCTCTCTCTCACACACACTCCTTGTTACACACACACACACACATCTGTGGGCTTCTTGTGTTAGTGTTCAGCAGTGTCAGTTTGGTCATATTAACAAGAGCTACTTTAAAAAGTGATTTTAAGTGTTACTTTTCAGGCACACACAGCAATTATTACAAGGTTCATAGCACAGTTCAAACAAACAATGCTAGGCTCAGCATACTACAGCAACACACATTACTGAAGCTCAGTGTTAATATGCTCCTTCAAGGCATCCCCCAGCGAAATTGCCCCCCCGTTGGGCTCCTCTATTCATCTTCTCCTCTTTTAGTCCCTCCACCTTGTGATGTGCTGTGTGCCCATCCACTATAGCTGCAGACCAACTATTTAACAGTGCAGTTCCTCAGTTTATTGTCCTGTTCTGGAAAGTTAAGCATGAAGGCAGCTAGTAGGTATATGTGAGAAGAATAGAATAGAATAGAGGCAGCAGGTCAGTCTCTCATTGCAAATCAGGGCATTCCTATATCAACTGCAGATGGTCTCAAAGGGCTATTATGGCAGTCAGGGATTACCAGAATGCAAGAGCTCCCCACATCTATGTCCCACACCCCGCAGAAAGACAGGGTGACAAAGGAACTCTGCATTACTAGACCATACTGTACCAATGCTGCTACGCCGCTGTAAGATTGTTCATGTAGCTGCTTTATGCTGACAGGAGAGAGATCTCCCATCAACATAATAAAACTACCTCCACGAGCAGCAGTAGCTATATCAGCGGGAGAAGCTCCCGCCGACATAGTGCTGTGCACACTACCACTTATGCGGGTGAAACTTATGTTGCTCAGGGGTGTGACGGTGTAGACATGGCCCAAGTGACTCCCCAGGGATGATCCTGTTATGTCTAGATAAGGCATCTTTAATGCAGCTTTGCACACCAGAGAGTCTGAAGCAGCTCTAGCATATCTGAGGCTCGGGGGCTAAATATTTAATAACAGATGGTAAAGTTGATTTGCTTTTTAAAGCAATTTTTAATAGTTTAAAAAACAATTTTAGAATATGAATAATGTAACTGAGTTTCAGTATTGTTACAACCCCTCAATATTACAGCAAGATCATTGCCTCCAGTTGGTTCTGGCAGGCCCAAGGCCATCTGCCCTGAATTCACATCTGTCTGAATGTTACCTAAAAGAAGCAACCAAGATCACTGAGACAAAAACTAGAGCTACTTTCTCTATATTTCAGTTTGTTGGCTTTGTATATGATTGCACTTTCTGCATAATCCATTTCACTACAATCATTTACCTCTGTTTGTATGGATCTTTGACACAGCGATAGAAAGAATACATTTTAAAAGTCAAAAAACTACAAAAATAGTAGGGGCAATTGTAGCTTTTTTACACTTTTAAAAAGCGGACTGCATTTCAAGCAGCCACTGTCCCCTTTAATTTAAGAGATTAAAGTACTCCCTTTGTAGCTCTGGTATATAACTGGAATCCAACATAGACAAGATGACATACTTACATAAAATGCACAGTCGAGCACTGCTCCTGAATGTTGATACTTGAGTCTCATGGTGTTGGCAGGAACATCATAGAGACGGACAGAAGTATCCCAAGATGAAACAAGCAGAAACTGAGATGTATTAGGACTAAACTTTACGGATGAAATACCATCTTCTGGCGGTTGGTTTAATTTAAATTCGTTTGATCCAGTCATCTGAATTAAGATTATAGAAAAGTTAGTTGTCATTACAATAATTAATAGGAGTTAGAAGTGGCAAGTTTGTGGAATAGTCAATACATCTAAAAGCTAACAACATACTATAGGAAAATTGTAGAAAATAGTTCTGTTTATTATTTTATAGCATCTAAATGTGTGCTAGGCACTACACAGAAATCAAAGAAAGGCATAGTCCAAGGATGGCCAAACTGTGGCTCGCAAGCCACTTTTGCCATTAAAGTGCAGCTCATGGAGCCCCTCATTCTCCACCTACCAGACTAGGGGTGAGGAGCTCAGAACTGCCTTGCAGTGGGGTAATGGCTTCTGCCCAGCGCAGAGGAGGCTCTCGGGGCTTCAACCCCACTGGGCACACATGCCGGGGCTCGGGGCTTCAGCAGGAGTGGGGCTGAAGCCCTGCGCCCCACTGAACACCGGAGGGGGAGAGGAGGGGCCTGAAGCCGCAAGCCCCAGCAGGCACCTCCCATGGGGCTGAAGCCCTGGGCCCCGACAGGTGTGCCCCAGCTCTCAAACTTCTGAAGATTGTCATATGCAGCTCGGAGAGTTATTAAGTTTGGCCACCCTGGCATAGTCCCTGACCCAAACTGCTTGCCATCCAAAGCTTTGATCCTTAAGTATGTGCATAATCCTCACTGAATTCACTGGGTTCAAAAAAGAATTGGATAAATTCATGGATAATAGGTCCATCAACAGCTATTAACCAAGATGGTCAGGGATACAACACCATGCTCTGTGTGTCCCTAAACTTCCAGCTGCTAGAGCAGGGGTTCTTAAACTGGGGGTTGGGACTCCTCAGGTGGTCACGAGGTTATTACATGGGGGGTCGTGAGTGGTCAGCCTCCACCCCAAATCCCGCTTTGCCTCCAGCATATATAATTGTGTTAGATATATAAAAAAGTATTTTTAATTTATAAGTGGCAGTCGCTCACAGAGGCTTGCTATGTGAAAGGGGTCACCAGTACAAAAGTTTGAGAACCACTGTGCTAGACGCTGGGACTGGACGACAGGGGATGAATCACTCAAAAATTGTCAGGTTCTGTTCATTCCCGCTGGCACTGGTCATTGTCAGAAGACTGGATATTGGGCTAGATGGACCTGACCCAGTGTGGCCTTTCTTATGTTCTTATAACATATAAAAGTATTTTCAAATTCAGGGATTAAATATCAGGTATGACAGAAGTGCTAATCAATAGGGATTGAATAGGGCAAAAAAACAAGTTTTACAGCAGCATAACTCAATTTAAGCACCTGCACATTATGGTGGTGCTGGTAAAGTTTTTTTTTTAAGCTTCTCCTTCCCACACAATAAACAAAAAAATAAGGGTAAATATCCTTGCCTCACTTATTGTGGACACCCCAGAGGAGGTAAATTTTGCAGAATTTAAATAAGGTGTATGAGTAGCTTGGTGGACCATCAGAGGAAGGGCATGCCACAAATACATAGGAGGTTGCATAAAAAAAGTAACAGGAGACAAAGACCAGCATCTTTGATAGAATGGAGGGCAATACCATACTGTATTGTCTACTGGAAGAAAACTACCAAAAAAGCCGAAAAAAAAAAATAAAATAAAAAGAAGTCACCGATTGTAGTCAAGTATACAAAACGCTTCAAAAGCTGGTACCATTCCCATAAGCTTCAAGGAAGTTTAGTTACACTATTTATAAGAGCAATTCTAACTTGTCTACACTGCTGCTCCAATAAGTTCTAAGACCATTTTAACTTTTTGATAATTTCCATAGTATAGACAGTCAGATAAGTAGAGAGAGACAGTTATGTAGGTAGGCAGCGAAGGGGAGGTCAGCGAGTCTAAATTTGATTCAGTGGAGAAGAGTCAGAGATTCAAGGTACAATCAATGGTTTATGAAGATAATTTTAGCAGCTACATTTTGGGTAAACTGAATATGGGCTATGTAGATATCAGGAAACCCAAGGAAGAAGTAGTTGCAATAATCAAGCCAGAAGATGAGGGAATGGACAATACTTTTATCTGTTGGGGAACAGAGGAACAATTGGATCTTGTGAATACTGTAGCGTAGATGAAGAAACAGCAATAAGTTTTAATACCTCAGATAGCTTAATACATAAACACACATGTATGTACGCAAACACTACGCTTTCTAATCATTTATTAAATAAATATCCTTTGCCAGGGGAGGGGATACCAAAAGATATTTCCTGAAAGAGGGACTGATTTGTGTTTAGACTCCTTGGAGGGAAGGAAATGGTAAGACTGGGAGTTATTTGGGGGGAAGGAGACAGGGAGAGTGCTTAGAGACTGTTTTGAAGTAGAGAAATTCCTGGGGATGGGAAAGCGTGTTGAGGCTGTTTGAGGAAGGGAGCTTGGGAAGGCTGTTTGGGGGTGAAACACTGGGCGGGGCCGAGAGCACCCAGGATGGGATCAGAGAGACCATGTGCAGAGGTTGGGGGCACTCAGGATGGGATTCGGGGACAGTGTGTGGAGGCTGGCGGAAGCACCCCAGGCATGGGCCTGGGATAGCATTTGAGAGCTGTGTGTGGAGGCTGCCAGGAAGGCTGAGGCTAGACTGGGGGACCACCCAGGATGGGAAGGGCGCAGGGTGCCCAGGCAATGGGACAGGGGGCCTGTCAGCATGCAGGATGCAATGGGGGGGCAGGAAAGAGGGCATCTCCAGAGACTGAAGCTGGGAACCAGAAGGCCCGCCCACAACTGAGGGTGTGGGAGCACAGTCTGGAGACCATGGGGAGAGCGGGGGGAGGTCCTGCCTGGGACGAGAGGCAAAACCTAAAAGGGCGTGCACCCAAGATAGGAATCGGGCAGTGTGCAGAAGCTGGAACAACCTGCACCCGAACAGGAATCAGGGGGTCAGGCACCTGGGACAGCACTGAGGGGTCATCTGCAGAGGATGGCAGGAGGCACAAGGGAGGCTCTGTGTGGAGCTCAGGAATGTCAAAGTGCACCTGGACCAGCAAGTGTGGAAACTGGGGGGCAGCCCCACCCATCCCAGTGACTGGATTGGATGGGGCCACCTGTAGAGGCTGAGGATGAATGGCACCCAGAATGGCACTGGGGCCCATGTGCGGCAGCTAGGATTCTGCAGGCACCCAGGACTTGATTAGGAGAGTACGCGGGTATGGAGACGGATGGGGGCAGGGCGATGGACTCATGTGGAGAGGCTGGGGACAGGGGAGCGTGCTTGTACCCACAACAGGACTAGGCGGCGGGGGCAGGTGCAGGGCCAGAAAAGGACTAGGGTCCCTGTGTGCAGGTTGGGTGGCAGGGGGAACCTCGGGGGAAGTTGGGAGCCAGGCCCTGAGGAGAGCCGGGCCCTCGTGTACGGAGCCTCAAGGGAGGTGCCCCCCCCCATGTGGGGAGCCTCGCGGGGCACAGAGCGGGGGTGGGGGGCTGAAGCGTCCGGCCCCAATGTAGGGAGCATCCGGAGGGGACCGGGGAGGCGCCGTGGGGGGTGCCTCGGGCAGAGGAGCTGGGACCGGGCGGGGAGGTTAGGGTAGCGGGGCAGCACGAGGGGCGGAGAAGCTGAGGGAGCCGCGGGCTCGGGGGGCGGAGGGGCTGGTTTAGATACACTCCCAGCTCGGCGGAGCGAATCGTTCCCCTGCGGGGGCGACAGGAGGGTTGAGGCAGCTCCCGCCCTGAGCCGACCCGGCCCGGCCTGCCCGATCTAGGCCATTTTCCGCTAGCCCCAAAAGAAGCAGGAAACAACTCCCCGCCCCGGGCTCTCCATTCCGCGTCGTTCCCGCCCCCCGGCCCACAGAGAACCCGGCCTACCTTGCTGGCTGTCCCGTTTATAGCGCCTCCGGGCCTGCCACCAACCGCCACTACTCAGCGCGCGCCGCGGCCGCCTGCCCCAACACAACCCCGCCCCGCTCCCGCGCGGGTCCTTCCGATTGGCCGGTTTGAATGACGAGGCTACACATCCCAGCATACCCCGCGTGCACACGTGCAACTACAACTCCCATCATGCAACGCGCTAACGGGCACCGGTGGCTTCTCTGTGCGAAGACTACATGTCCCAGTGTGCCATAGAACAAGCGTACGCCGAAGGAGCCGGTCTCCGGATGGGACATGGCATGCTGGGACTTGCAGTGTGCGCTTCTCGGCCACCTTCTGGTGCAGGCGGAGCTACCGTTTGGCCAAGGGATTCTTTGCCTAGATGCTTTATGGGACATAACGAAGGTGGATTGTGCTGATCTGGCTGGAGTGGCTGCTGCTCTCCCGGGGGAGAGGAGAAGGGAGCTGGTGAACAGTAGTGAAAGGTCAAGGACGAACAACCAAAGTGGGGATCACTTGCGGGGGGTGGGGGTTCCCCTCGCCCCACAGACTGTGCGGAACTCCACCCGCGCACCAACTCCATGCACCGGCTAGCTCCGGCTTCATCCATGCTCCATTGTTATCAAAGAATCAGTTTTATTCATGCACCCATCCACCCGTGGGGAAGACATAGATATAGGTGCGTAGGTAGACCCACTCTATCCCTATACCAGCTCTCGCTCCTTCTTTGCATCATTTATCTATAAACCAGTACCACTCATGCACCATTTGTCCATGCATGCTTAACTCCATCCGTGTACTAGCTGTCCCGGCGGACCCCTCCATCCGTACACTCATTATTCCATTCATGCGTGCACACACAACGCTGTACTAGCAGGCAGGAGATGTACCCCTAAATTCCCCTTGAGCATACTTTTTAAAAGTGCACTTTCCTTTATGGGTCCAATAAGAAATGGAGAAGCATGCAATCAGTGTTCTCCCTTCTCATTCTATTTGCTTTTTCTTTTTACTTGTATTTATATATTTTAATTCGGAGTCTTAGCAAAACCAGTTGCATTAGAACTGGCCTTGTAGGATTCTCTGATTTTCCTCCTCCTCTTCTCTTGTCTTTTTAAATAAGTTCCTCAGCTGAAAATGTATCCTTCATTTTTCTCTTCCTCTCTACTGTTACTTAACTCTATAAATAGATGTTATTCAACCTTTTACAGCTTTGTGGGACACACTTTGTATGATATTCGCTCCTCTAAATGGAATAGTATTTATTCCACCTGTCCTCTTCGTGCCTCTGTGATATAGCTGCGGCATTCCCCTTGCAGTTTTAAGCGATTTCGTTTCTCGCCTACTCTCTTTAGTTCTTGGACATCAAAAGCTCTTCTTGACGTATTTGCATAATCTTATATCGCATTGGGTTTTATTAATGAGAAATGCAAAGGACAATTAGCCTCTGAGAGGAGTCAAATTTGTTTTAATTGGAAATTAATTATAAACGCCTGCTCCTAAAAGTAAGATAGGCAGTTATATAAAATAGTGCCAAGGAACTGAAGCTTACCCACTGATTTATTATATCTTAATACCACAGAGTATCAAAAAGTTTCAAGATTGAAAGGGTGGGAGGAGAGACTCTGATTGTAAAGGTTCCTTCAATCCAATCTGGAATTAGTACTGGCTGCCTTCCGGATCACCCCTAGGAGTAAGCTTCTGCATTTACTACTGTAAAGAGAGTGGAAAGCAGCCAATTCCACACCGATATAGTCTTTCTGTTGCAAACATGCTGTATATATAATATGACTCAAGATGTCTGCTTCTCACGAAGCTAACAAGGGTAATTACTAATGGACAATAGAAAAGGCGTCCTTTCATTTCTCAAGCTTGGAGGAGTATGTCAAAGGATTATTTTAAAATGTAGGGGGTTACAAAGGAATCTGAAATATTTTTATTAACAGTGAACCTCCAGTGACAATATTTGAATTTATTTTTTATTTTCCTTAATATAATGTAAAAAAGAAGACTATTTTTGTATGTGTGTATGTACAGAGAAGAGCATGGTATAATTGTGATCATAAAAAGCTTTTGAAATGCAATAATATTGTAGTAAAACTTCACATTCATCACAGCCTCTTATTTCCGGTATATTTTAGAAAGATCTGATATTTAGCTGTTAATAATATTAACAGACAAAATAAATCGGAATTATGGAAGAATCCAGAGTGAAAATGCAAAACATTTCAGTGAATTCTGATTTTTTTTAATGCCAACCCTGGGCAAAAATTAAAGATGATAATGTGATTAAATTATCCTGAATCATAGCAAACCATGAGTTTGATTTTCATCTGAGCCATTACAAATGTGCACCCGAGGCCCTTCACTATAGTTTATTTAATTTGGTACTCCAAAATACTTTAAAATGTTTGGTTTTACATGAAAGGAAACACTCAGGGAGTTTTCATTTCATTTCATTTATCAGGATGATACCGTTATAATCCTCAGGCTCTATTTTTTATCGTAAATGTAATGTCAGTTGAAATGTATTTAGTTATTGCTTCTGAAAATATGTTCCTGTATTCAAATCCTTAACCAAGGAACAGGTGGCTCTGATAAAAATGCAACGGTGCCTGCAATTTAAATAACACTTGATGAAGTATTTACTTTTTGTTTAAACGATTCACTTCATCCTCTGTACAGAGGAAGCTGCAGGTGTTTTTAGCACTTGCAAGAGAAGCTGCTGAGCGCTAAAATCAATCATGGCTCAGAATGTCACATTTCGATTAAAAGGAGCTGGCAAGCACTTTACATGTGATCGTGGCATTTAGCAGAATACACTGCAAACTACATAAAAACACCCCTCATTTCCGGAAACACTTCTCTGCTCTGATCACTTAATAAAGAAGGTTCATCTTATTTCCAGATAAAGACACCAGGACTGCTGTGATTCAAATGTATTTGACATTTGCAAGGTTTGGGGATTACAATCTGTAGGCTACGTTTCCCATTCACGATATTACAATGGTGGAGGTGAGGAAGAAAAGTACTTCTTCACATGCATAGCCTCAGTATGGTTTTCTGGCGAGAAGTGGGGTGTAAATGTGAAGTAGAAAAATATCAAACAACAGTGTGCACCTATATAGACAATGCTGATTAGAACCATAGAATAATAGAATATCAGGGTTGGATTAGGGGTAGATAGTGGTGGGTGTAACTACATCTAGATATTCTATGTAAAAATTAATTACTAGTTAATTACAGCATTTTTAATATTTAGAGTCTTTACACAAACTAAAATTCACTGGTGTTGATAACTGATGCATTTTGCATGTCAGAACCTATATAGGATCGAAAAGACTAACATATTATTACAGTAGTTGCAGGTCTTACAGTGACTTGCCTAGGCTAAGATTTTATTTTCCCACTAGCCTTTTTTTTTTTACTCTTCCTACATCGCAGCTGCCGGATTACTTCACTTTGAGTTACTCCATATTTCCAGCCCTGTTTTGATCAGTGCACAGTTCATGTTCGGTTGACTTTGCTGCAAATGCCTCCAAAAGTAGGTGGAATCCCGCTGGTGGAAGTCAAGGGCTCTTGTAACTCTAAAGAGAGAATTACAACATTTCCTGAATTCAGTCGGAAACAGCTATTGAAAGTTTCTCGTTCGAACAGAGGCGGCACAACGCAAGAGGCGTCTGTCCCTCTCCCTGTTAATTGTAACCTCCTTCACGGCTAATACCATAGTTCAACAACAATGCGCTTTGCGTTTTGAACTGAAATATGCAATCAACTTGGCAAAAGTTACAAACGATGTTTAAAATGTTTTATTTTCTTTAAAAATATTTACAGATTTGAAATATGTTTTTTAAATTTTATTTTCAAGTGATAGAATAATATTCAGGAAAAGAGTGGGGGCGGCGGGGGGGTTGAAATTGGCCTATACAATTGCAGAGACAAATAACCAAGCGCCCTGGGCCTTTTCCTACCTGCACATGTAGATAGAGAGACGATTGCAATTTGTTTTGAAAGTCCCGTGAAGCTCAGAAAGTCAGTTATGGCTGGTGGGATAATGCATGGCGATCGTACATAAAAACACTATGCCAGCCTAGAACATAAACAAACAAATCGAGAAGCTCCAATAAATAAAAATAATGAATACACATGGTGTATTTCTTAACATTGCAAGAAGCACATTTGTTTTCCTGTTGATACAGACGGGTGAAATCTATGAAAGGTCATCGCGGCTAGCGGAGAGCTATACAGAGAAGGAGACAGTGCCATCGGCTTTCAGAGTCAGTAGTCGATCTTGTTGTAGAGATTATAGAGAGGTAAGGCTGACAAGTTGCTGCCTGGGTAGTATAAAGGGGCTGGGAAGGCGATAGACCTGGGTACCGGCACTCTCAGAAGGGAATTGTCTCTGAAAACCAGGGGCATCCCCACTAGTGTCTGGGCTGAGGCATGAGCCATATTGGCCGCCTCCAGTTCTGCCGAGAGTTGCCTTTTCCATTTGTTCCTGCGGTTCTGGAACCAGGTTTTCACCTGGGTCTCCGTCAGCTGCAAACTGGAGGCCAAGCAGGCCCTCTCCGAGCTGCTCAGGTACCTCTTCATGTCAAAGGTAGATTCCAACTGGTACACCTGGCTCCGGGAGAAAACAGTGCGGGTCTTCTTTTTGGCTGAATTAGCCTGTCTGTCCCCTCCGTCCCTTTGTCTGTCCCCAGAAGACGGGGAGTTTGGAGGGAAGTGTTTCTCTTTTTCCTCCTTCAAGTCCTGTTGGGATTGGGAGAGGAACTGCGTCCTGTCCGTATTTACCGTCATTGCTCCTCCATTTCCCTTTGGATTGCCTTGAAGAAAACAGAGAAACAAGCAAACAAACAGAGATATTCCGCATCAGACACTCTACGGCGTAATCAAAAAGCTCTACACATAGAAAATGCTCATTTTTGCCAGCTCCCCAGTGCACAGAGACTAGCTAAAGAAAATCAGTCAATTTCACAGCTGCAATGTGCATCTCCAAAATTCCAGTTCATTCTATTTCCAAGGTCAAGTGCTAAGGAAAATCAGCCTCCAGAATGGAGGTTCTTTACTTTAAAAATACATCCCTTCTATCCTGAGTGAAGACAGATGAATAACCAGGAGTTGGGGGGAGGGGGTTGTTGTTTCCTATAGCAGAAGAACTGGTAGATCTTACTTTATAGCATAACATTTCACAGCCCGTTTATTCCCAAACAATGCTAAGAACTAACATCTTTCTTCCCCTTACTCGGGAGCTGTAAAGAAGAACAATCTAAGAAAACCACAGTTATCAATCATGTTAAACGGATAATCGTTCACAAGGGAAGGAGGAAAATATGCAGGGAAAGGACTAAAAGCTAAGGTATCTCTAAAACCATTGTACCAAATCGGGTAAGAAACCGACACGAACTCAGTTTGGCCAGAAATCAGCGCAAATGTTCAGTGAAACACCATCCACAACAAACAATAAATAAAAGGACATGGTATGTACATGTTACCGTTTGACAATAGATGTTTTCAAAGGGCTTGTACACCCAAGCGCCCGAGACACTGATTTTCCCTGCGTTTAGACAGACCTCTATAAACTGATCACAACATACTGTATATTCCACGCTAAGAGGTAAATGAAAAGGTTTCACCAGCTAAAAGCCCGAGCGAGAAGAGCGAATGCACGGTGGAGAGCTGTCATTCTAGATATTAACATCTAGCTAGGTGGAGATCTACATGCTTCCTAAGGAGGTAAATTTGTCCAGTACTTACTGAGACACGTGAAACTGATGGGCTGGTGTTTGTGGCAAGTTTCTTTGGGGCCCTGCGACTCAGGACAGAAGCAGCCGTGATGTTTCCAGCTCTCCTCCGGCTCCTCTTCCTCTGAGGACACCGACAGACTTCGCTTCCTGCTCGGCCAGGCGGCCGCTGCCTTGGAACTGGGCTCCCTGCCCCCTTCCGAGGTACCGCTGCCCAGGATGGACTGGATGGTAAAACTGGAGATCGGAGCGGCTGCGGGGCAACACTTGCTCGGGTCTTCTTTGTTGCTCATCCTGGGTTCATAAGAAATAAGAGGAAGAAAGCTCTCCCTTTAGAGCCACTCTGGGGGAAGGTGTGTGTGAATGCGTGTGCCTGAGGGTCGGGGGCGGCTGGGGGGGGCTTGTCTGGGCTTGTTTTGGTTGTGTTTTGGGGTGTGTTTTTGGCGTGTCTTTGCAGGTTTTCCCTGAGCTTGCCCAGCCTGAATGCATGCTCCTTTCTCTCTCAGATCTCTACTGATCTCCAGGCGGCGGGGTGGCGTGGCTTCATTTGCATGGAGGTTACATCTGCCAGGGCCAATCACAGACTGCTGGCAGCCCCGGAAAGTTTCAAAATTCTAGCCCCCCGCAAGCCCGCTGGTTTTCGGGGGGCTGCTGGCTGAAGCCAACAGAACTGGATCGCAGCCGCTCATTAAACTGACAAGTGGAGGACTCAGTTTAAAGCCGGACGCTAATAGGGATAAAATAGATGCCAAACAAGCGTCTAAGTGTCTTTTCCTTCTCCACCACCTCGTTTGCAACCTTTTAGGTGGAACTGGGGGGGGGAACTGATGTGGTCTGAATCTCTTCTTTAAAACAGTGGGATGTTGTTTAAATAAACACATTGTGCATTTCCGTGGGTTTTCACCCTTTTGCTCATGAAACTGATTTGCTAGAGTCTGCTGCCTAACAAGCAACATTTGAGCATCAAGATTTAAAGACAGGAGTTTTGATGCTACATATAACATGGTAAAGGAGGTCGAGTAAATGACTCCCTTTTCCTTTTGTCTTTCCCAGTGTAAAGGGGAAATGCTTTTGTATATTTCCAAATGAACTTTTCAGGAGCCAGGGAGCATTCCTACACCAGAGAGAGCACAGCCCCAGCGAAAACAGGCAAACCTGGGAGCAGATTTGTTTTATTTATTACCATTATTTAATATAAAAACGCAAGCAAATTAGATCTAGAAAATTCCAGGTGCTAGAGGAGAATTTGGTTTGATTAAGGCACCGGCTTCCATTTTGTAACTAATATCCTCTATATCCGACCTAAAGAAGGGGTAATCTAAACAAGAAGTGTCTGCTGAGTAACTCCCCATCAACGTCCGACTCCTAATTAATTATTGGCTGTTTTCAGTAGGCCCCCGACTAACGTCTAACAACATCCACCGAAAGATCGAAGTGGCCCCCGTGCAGGAATGAACCCCCATCCCAAGTTTAACTGCTTGTCTTTAAAACATCGAGCCAGTCAAACGGCTCACGAGTTGTATCAGGCTCACAAAGATCTGACTCCTTTCCGGGAGAGCCAGATTTGCCGCTTGTACACGGCTGGGAGATTGCGGGAGAGATGAAAAGACTAAATGGATTTGAGTTGCCTGGCGCCAAGAAGCCTAGGCAAGGAACATTTAGTAAAGGTATCAATGGTAGGATGCAATCCAACCTACGAAACGCATTTCCTATCCCCAAAACGATGCAGGTACATCCCTAACCTTCCCCGTGGGATGTAATAAGTCTTTGTGGTGCAGCCGGATACCTATATCTATATTTAAATCCTGTTCAGATGGCATTTCTATTGGGATTTACAAAATTCATTGCGATCATTGTAACTACATTGGCACTCGTTTCACTTCCTCTGGGGTGGTACATCCTTCATCCAAGACACGAAATTGGAAAGGAAAACTCTCTCTTTCAAAGTCTTAAAATCATTTCCTCCAGAGGAGTACAATGATAACATGATCATTAAGGATTGCAACCATCCCGCTCCCTAATCCCGTTACAATTGCATTAGGATGGGGGGTTACTTATTGTAAAATGGTACATAACGTGCGTTCTAGTTGGCAGAAATGAAGAAGGATGTAACCTGTACTAGTGGCAAATCGGCAGAGATTTGAAAGCTCAATTCAGTGTTGGTTTAATTAAAGCCACTACTTCAGGATTTACACAAATGCACAGTACAGGTACAGAGCAGGGAAGGCTGCATGTTATAACTTCTTTTCCTTTACCTTCTATAGATATTTCAAAGGGAGCTGGGGTTTTTCCTAAAGTTCAAAGCTAAATGTTGTGGCCCGGGCCCTCTAACAGGAGAACCTCTGCATTAATTCCTGTTTTCCCCGAACTTCCTATTTAACGGTGCTATCCCGCAGTGAACATGGTATATGTAGTCAGTGCT